TTTTATTTAGGCTTTTTGGCCAGATTTTGGATGCTTCTTAGTTCATTTATGCCTGAATTGCTACTTAATTCTATATATTTTATATTTCAGGGCAAAACGGGCATTTTGAGTGAATAATGAGCGAATTAGAATTTCTGGACTCAGAAGTAAGCGAATCTTAGAATTTAGGAAAGTTCTGAAGCAGAGTGAAGCACTATGAAGCTTGTTCCCATGGGAAAGCATCGAAGATTGAAGATTCAAGCAAGGAAGCAAGCAGAGGGCAATTCTGTAAATTCAGAATTCTTGTAGAAGGTTCGCCATGGCGAAGTCTATTCTTTGCCGCGGCGAAAGAAGTTAAGCACGAGATTCCACTTTAGCTCGTCGCCGCGACGAAATTCTTTCTTCGCCACAACGAAGTCTGCGAAATTTGTTTTCTCCAAAACGCACAGTTTTATTTTAGGAAAGTCTTAGGTTTTTGGGCAAACTATATAAGAGAAACTTCGCCATTTTGAGAAGGGTTCATCTAAGTTGCCTGGTTTTCGTTTCCTTTAGAGTAGCTTTGACATTTTTGGAGAGAAAGGGAGAAGATTGGAGATTTAATCTTGTGGATTCTTCAACTAGGGGAGATCTCTATTCTTTTCTCTTTGTTTCAATATGTTGACTGCTATGCTTACTGTTCTTCTTGCTATTTGTGTTAATTTAGTTATGAACTAACCCATTTTGGGTTAGGGTTTTGATGTAATTCGGATTTATATGGATTAATCAATTGATTATTGTTGCTTTTACATTCTATTGCATAGATTGTGTGGTTATTCTGATTTTTATTGATTTTATTTGTTGAGCATGATGATATTGAGAAATGAATCATGTTGAGCTTCTTGGGTAATCACCATTGTAGTATTGAACGCTAGAGATAGGTTTGAGAATCAATGAAATCAATCTAGGATTCCATTAGCTTAATGAACTTGGAATTATTAATCTTCAAATTGTTGGGTGAGGAAGCTTAATAGTGAAAAGTAGGAATTCATAGCCTAAGAAGGTATGTTTTACAACTTAGAGAATTCGATTTACAATCCGTGCATGTGAGTGTAGAAGTAGCATAATCCGTAGAATTAATCCATAGAGTCCGAACGAAGTCAAAATCCTAACCATTTGTTTAAATTGATATTGCTCTTGCTTTAAATCTTGCTTTCATTAATTAGTTTTTAATACTTAGTAATTTTTTTTTTTAGTTTAGTTTTAATCTCTCCCATAAATCCAAACACATTTGGTTTCTCCAACTTGAAAACAATAGGAAAATCAGTGATTAACAGCCAATCCTCGTGGGAACGATACTCACTCATCACTTTATTACTTTGTGCGGCTAGTGCACTTGATATATTTGCATGTTGTAGTAACAATGCATCAGAGCATCTAACCGCATTTCTGGTAATAAAAATCTTTTCTCTCAAATTACCTCTTCTCCCACTTTATCAAAAATTACTCTTGCTAATGGTTCACAGACTATGGTCAAAGGGATAGGAGAAGCTCAACCACTTCCTTCCATTTCTTTAAACTCAATCTTATTCGCCCTTGAATGTCCATATAATCTGATTCATATTAATAAGTTACCAAAATATCTTAACAGTTCTGTCACCTTTTTGTTGACTCTATTGTGGTGTAGGATCGAAATATAGGTTAGATGATTGGAATAGGACATGAATCACATGGACTGTACCACCTCTCCGATCCAAATCCGCCAGTTGCCTTCACCTCTGCTACATCTATCGACATTTTTCATAGCCATCTTGGTCATCCAAGTCTTGCCAAATTTCAAAAATTAGTATCTAGTCTGTCTACATTATCTTCTTTTAATTGTGAGTCATGTCAACTTGGAAAACAAACTAGAGCTTTCTTTCCCAAGCGAGTCAATAATAGGGCCATCTCAATGTTTGATATTGTTCACATAGACATCTGAGGTCCTAGTCGTGTCAGTTCAACTTTGGGTTTCTATTATTTTATTACTTTTATAGATGACTATTCTCATTATACTTGGGTATTTTTAATGAAAACTCGTTCTGAGTTTTTTTTTTATCTTTCAAAATTTTTGTGCTGAGATTCGTAATCAGTTTGGTGTTTCTATTAAGATTTTGCGTAGTGATAATGCTAGGGAATATCTATCTTCTTCCTTTACTAAGTATATGTCTTCTCAGGGTATTATTCACTAGACCTCATGTGCCTATACTCCTCAACAAAATGGGGTTGCCGAACGCAAAAATCTTCATGTTATTGAAACAGCCCGTACCTTACTTATACATCATCATGTTTCTCTTCGATTTTGGGGGGATGCAGTTCTCACCGCCTGTTACTTGATTAACCGTATGCCTTCTTCTGTCGTGCAACATAAGAGTCCACACTCCATTCTATTTTTTTGGTAAAGACCCATACCTAACACATTTACGGGTGTTTGGCTGCATTTGCTTCGTTCATGATCACACTCCAAGCAAAGACAAATTATAGCCTAAATCCATTAAGTTTATCTTCTTAGGATATTCTCGTCTGCAGAAAGGTTACCGTTGCTATGACCCAACCACCAACAAATATTTTGTTTCTGTAGATGTAACTTTCTTTGAGACATCTCCATACTTTTATGAAAAACACCATCAATAGCAATCTTATCCCTGCCACCTTACCTATCCTCATCCCTCATTCCTCGTCAATGGATCGTCCTTCTCTCCAAGCTTATTCTCGGCATCCTTGTCCTCCTACTAATCCCAATGGTACTTCCCTTCTTGATACAGGTACCTCGGTCAATCCTGATGACCTATCTCTTGTTCCTCCATCACCTGCTCGGGTCATGTCTCCTCCAGACAAGGCAACTCCTCCACTTGCCCTTCGCAAAGGTATTCGATCTTCTCAAAACCCACATCCTATTTATAATTTTCCTAGTTATGATCGTTTATCTCCATTTTATTCTGCCTTTATTTCAAACTTGTCTTCTATCCCTATACCTAACACTATTAGCGAGGTAATGGCACATCCAAGGTGGAGAGTTGCCATGATTGAGGAGATGACTGCTCTCGATCATAATGGTACTTGGGAGTTGGTTTCCTTACTGCCAGGCAAGACTGTTGTTGGGTGTCGGGTTTACACTGTTAAGATTAGTTCTGATGGCAAAGTTGATTGGCTGAAGGCCCACCTTGTTGGAAAGGGGTACGCTCAGATTTGTGGGCTCGACTACAGTGATATCTTCTCTCATATTGCTAAGATTACTTCGGTACGCCTCCTTATCTCTTAGCTACCATGTATCAATGGCCTCTTCATCAGTTGGATATTAAAAATGCCTTCTTGCATGGTAAACTTGTCGAGGAAGTCTATATGGAGCAACCGCCAAGGTTTGTCGCTCAGGGGGAGTCAAGGTTAGTGTGTTGTCTACGCCGATGTTTATATGGTCTCAAGCAGTCACCTACAGCATGGTTTGAACAGTTCAGTTCTATGATTCAACAGTTTGGGATGTCATGAAGTAAAGTTGATCATTTAGTATTTTTCAGCCGTAATGATCATGGTAAATTGATATACTTGGTTGTCTATGTTGATGACATTGTCATAATAGGTAATGACCAAGATAGGATTTCTCAACTGAAGCAGCATCTGTTTAGCCACTTTCAAACCAAGGACTTGGGGAAGCTAAAGTATTTTCTGGGGATTGAGGTAGCACAGTCTAAGGCTGGTGTTGCTATATCACAAAAGAAGTATGCCTTGGACATTCTTGAGGAGACAGGTATGTTAGACTGTAAGCATGTAGATTCTCCTATGGATCCCAATGTCAAACTTGTTCTTGGATAGGGGGACCCATTAGAAGACCTTAGAAGGTATTGAAAATTGGTTGGTAAGCTGAATTATCTCACGATCACTAGACCAGATATCTCCTTTGCAGTTAGTGTGGTTAGCCAATTTCTCCAGGCCCCATGTAGTGGTCATTGGGACGCAGCAGTTCGCATTCTCAAGTATATTAAAGGAGCTCCAAGACAAGGCTTGCTATATGAAAATAGGGGTCATTCTGAAATTTTTGGGTATTCTGATGCTGATTGGGCAGGGTCTCCATTAGATAGACGATCTAATTCTGGATACTGTATCATGATTGGAGGTAATCTAATATCTTGGAAGAGTAAGAAGCAAGATGTAGTAGCTAGATCAAGTGTAGAGGTAGAATATCAGGCTATGGCTCTCGCAACTTGTGAGCTCATCTGGTTGAAACAACTTCTTCAAGAATTTGGGTGCAATGAAGTAAAGCAGATGAAACTAATATGCGACAATCAAGCTACTCTGCATATTGCCTCAAATCTAGTCTTTCACAAAAGAACAAAGCATATAGAGGTTTATTGTCATTTTATTCAATAGAAGATTGAATCCAGATGCATTGTCACCAGTTTTGTCAACTCAAATGACCAGCTAGCAGATGTTCTTACTACGTCTCTTAGAGGTTCCCGAATCGGATACATTTGTAACAAGCTTGGAACATATGACATATATGCTCCAACTTGAGGGGGAGTGTTAAAATATATTAGGAAAATAGAGATATTATTTCCTAGATTGACTGTTAAGAAATATTAAGAAAATAGAGATAGTATATTGATTTATGTAAATATGGTAGACTAATATTGTGTGTATATCCTTGATTATTTAGGATCAATTCTTTCCTAATTCATGTAACTTGTACATTGTATAAATTCCCATCTTGCTTGGGGAAATAATTAAGCAACATATTTCACATTAGGATTAAGCTCCTCTAACAGCCTCTTTCATGTATAACATGGACCAAACTAAAACTAGGTGTTGGGCTCTAACAGAAGCATTCCTTCCCTATTTACTTCAAGATTGAGCTTAGTTGAGTTTACTTGGTATAGAAGCATTTAAAACATCAACAAGAAAACTATGACAACAAAAATGTGCACAAATTTTTTTAATTTTTCTTCTTTTTCATTTGGAGTAAGCAAAGTTTTATAGTGCTATGAAAATGAAGGCATAGACAGATACATAAGAATACCTGAAAGGAAGCATAGAGTGTCAGAAGAAAAGGATGATCGAGTAACGACATGATTTCCCTTTCAGTGCATACTCGGTGAACCTAACACCAGAACAAAGATTAAATATTACTCTATGTACAAAATTGGCACTATGAAACAATTATTTCTCTTTAAAGTTCTTTTATTTAAAAGTTGAGTTTGATCATACTATATATTCAGACCTTGTTACAATTTATCATTATAGATTTTTCCATTGCTTTCATAGCATACAGTTCGCCAGTCTCCTGCAGTTCCACCAGGTGAACGCTGCAACAAATAACATAGAATTTTAAGCAAAGAATAGAAACCTCTAATTTATGTACCACTGACTTAGTAATTAAACAACAGTCTTAGTAATATAGTGGTAGATATAAGAGACAAGATTTTGAAATGTAAGTAAATCTCCATGCACAAAGTATTACAGGAACCTAGAAACTCACCCTACTATTTTAGGCATAAATAAACGCCTTATCCACACCGTCCAGGATTTTAAACTTAAATCTGGAATGTTGATTCCTTATTTAAGTTTGAGAAAACCAAATTATTTAAACCATATATAATCCATTTTTTTTTCTCTCCTTCACTCTTCCCTATAAAGACTCAATTTCAATCCTCGCTAAGTAAGCTCATTGAAACTTCTTTTGGGTCTAGATCTCCCCCAAACCCCTTCTACCTTTCTAACGTACTTTCAAATTTTAGTTCACGAAACAATGACACTAGAAGTTATCAATTGAATATAAAAAATTTATACTGAGACTTTGAGGAGTACATATTTTCAACAGTGTATCATTTGTTGGGTTAAGAAAATCAAGGTAACATAATTTGATAATCTCAGGGATACTAAGCATGTGAGGGGAAAAAATTACCTGCCAGTATCACCACAACCCAAGGGTTTTATCGGCTTAGTTAACCATATAGATTCTATTCCAAGTGAGATAACTGAAGAGGAAGATTGCATCTCATTTGAATCAGCTAAGAGATAGCATTTATCTTTCTGTTACATGTAGTCTTATCTTTTTGTATATTTGAAATTCATTCAAACGTGTAAAGCTCTATATATTCAATAAGGTCTTCTCATCTGGTATCAATTAAACCAGACTTCAATATCTTAAACTTGGTATCAAAGCTTCATTTGGCTAACACCATTCTCGATCCTAATGGCTTTTGCTAACTTCCATTTTCCCAATATCACTCCTTTAGTTTCTGTCAAATTAGATGGATCCAATTATCTTAATTGGATCACTCAATTCACTCCACTCCTAAGAAGCCATGATTTACTTGGCATTGTGGATGGCTCTGAGTCGTGTCCTCCAAAGTTTGCCACTGATTCTGAAGGCAAAACTACCTCTGACATCACCACTGATTATATGGTATGGCAGAAAAAAGACCAATTTATTTTGGCATGGATCAATGCCACTCTCATGGAGAAGGTCTTGTCTACTGTCTATGGACAAAATACCTCTCGACAGGTTTAGACCACTTTAGCAAACAGGTTTGCACCTAATTCTAGATCTCAAATCTCTCATCTTAAGAGACAATTGTAGATACTTAATCAAGGAGCTAAGTCGTGTACTAGCTATCTCGTTAGTGCCAAAAATTGGCCTGACCAACTTGCAGCTGTGGGAAAACCTGTTGATGATGAGGACCTGATATCTTATGTTGTTGGAGGTCTTAATTCTGCTTATCACCCATTCATTACCTCCTTAATTTTGCAACCCGAGACTCATCAATCACCTTTGATGATTTTCAAACTGAGTTGCTGAATTATGAACAACTACTTGAGTCCCAACACAAATCTATCCCACTAGATACCCACAATGTTGCCTTTTTCAGTCATAAATCTAAGCTACCTTATAACAATAGCAAACCAAAGCCCTTTTCTGCCAACAAACCCACCGTACCACGCTCTTCAAACACCTCAAACTTCTCTGCTCATCCACCCAATAACCCTAACTTCTCTGTTCCACCAATAGGAAAAGGACCAACCACCTCAAACAACACCTTCTTCTCTCACTCCAAACCTCCCTGTCAGATTTGTGGGAAAACAAATCATCAAGCTTTGGACTGTTACCATCGGATGGACTTTTCTTACCAAGGAAGACATCCACCTGCACAACTAGCTACGATGGCTGCTCATACACATGTTACTCAAGAGGAAGATCAGCCTTGGTTCCTTGACAGTGGTGCCAACACTCATGTCACCTCAGCCTTTAACAATCTCACCTTGACTCAGCAACCATATCAAGGTCCAACCAAAGTCACAGTTGGCAATGTAGGAGGTTTGCTATCAATCACACCGGTTCTTCCATTCTGAAAACTAATAATAGTTCTCTGCTTTTTTCAAATGTTTTACACTGTCCTCAAGCTTCATCTAACCTCTTATCCATTCAATAGCTTTGTCAAGATAACAATTGCTATTTTACACTCACTGCTACCTCTTTTGTTGTGAAGGAACTGCAGACCAACAAGATACTTTTCCAAGGTCCGAGTAGAGCAGGACTCTACCCAATTTATTTTCAACCTTTCAATTCCAATAAGAGGCAGCACAACTCAGCCTCAAATTTTTCCTTTACAGCTTTCCTAGGTGTCACAGCCCCTGCTATGACTTGGCATGCCCGATTGGGTCATCCATCAGAATCAGTTCTTAACCACCTCACTCATGATGCTCTCATCTCTATATCAGGCTCACAAAAACTGAAGCACATTTGTGGATTTTTTCAAATGGCTAAAAGCCATAAACTTCCATTTCCCCTCTCTGATCATCACTCTAGTCATCCTTTAGAATTAATTCATTCTGATGTTTGGACTTCTCCTGTATTGTCACTCAGTGGCTGTAAATACTATGTGGTTTTTATTGATGATTATTCTCGGTTCTCATGGTTGTTTCCTCTTAAACAAAAATCGGATTTGGCCATGTGTTTCCTTAAGTTTCAGTCTCTAGTTGAAAATCTATTCTCCTCTAAAATCAAGCAACTTCAAACTGATAATGGAGGAGAATATCTATCCAATTCATTCAAAAAATTCTTACAAGAACAAGGAATCCTACACAGACTAACATGCCCCTATACATCTGAACAAAATGGCATCTCAAAGAGGAAACATCGCCATTCAACTGAAACAGCTCTATCTCTCTTAGCACAATCTCACTTACCATCCACACATTGGGTTGATGCTTTCCTCACAGCCACTTACCTTATAAACTGAATGCCCACACCTATCCTTGGCCATTAATCCCCTTATTCACTTCTGTTTTAGACCAAACCAGATTACACTTTACTAAAAATTTTTGGATGTGCCTGTTTTCCCTTACTTCAACCATACTCTGCACACAAGCTCTGCTATAGTAGCAAAAAATGCATTTTCATTGGTTATGCAACTAACCAAAAAGGCTACCGATGTTTGGATATTCAAACTGTTCATATTTATATCCCTCGACATGTAGTCTTTGATGAAAGTACATTTCTTGCTACTCAAGCCTCTTCCAACTCCAAATCAGATGCTACTCCACCAGAAAATATCATTCCTCATCTCTCCATTCCAAACTTCACTGCTGCTGCTCAACCCTTGGAAGATATCTCATTGGACTCTGCTGCTGCCATCACAACTGGTATGCCCTCTTCTCCCTCTAGTTTAATTAGTTATCCTTTTCACTCACCTTATGATGAAGCTTTTGCAGATTTCTCTCCTACTAATAACCCAGCTCCAGATTCTAGTTCACCTCTCTCTCATAACTCCCACCCAAGACAAATAATCACCAGATCTCACACCAACTCACTCAAGCCAAAATAATTTCCTGATTACAAGCTTTACTACTCCACCAGATACCTAATTCGAGCCATATCTTCAATTCTACTTCCCTCTGAACCAAAAACCTACAAACAAGCTACCACGGATCCCAATTGGCAGGCAGCCATGCAACTAGAGTTCAATGTTCTCATTGATAACAACACTTGGACCTTATGTCCTAGACCTCCAAATAAACACATCATTCGAAATAAATGGGTGTTTAAACTCAAACAAAAGGCTAATGGAACCATTAATAGGTACAAAGCAAGGCTTGTAGCCAAAGGGTTTGATCAAGAGCATGGAGTGGACTTTCATGAGACTTTCACTCTAGTTATAAAGCCTACCACCATTCGATCGGTGCTTGCCTTGGCTGTTCATCGTGGCTGGATTGTAACGCCCCACTTGAGGTACGTAGTTATTGTTTCTTCTTTTGCTCTTATTTGAGTTGGTTTCTTGGTAATATTGTTTGGTTGACCTTTGATTGAGTGTTATGTTGAATACTTGCCCCGAAATTGGTTGAAAATAGAAGAAGTTCAGTGTTCCAAGCTTCACCGGGGCGAAGGGGTGTTGAAGCCACGGGAAGCTGCTGGACAGTTTTGCCACAGCGATAGAAGCTTCCTCGCCGCGGCGACGGGCCAACCAAAATGTTTGTTAAGTTTTAGATATTTTCTTCCCTAAGGGCAATTTGACCATTCTACCCCTAATTAGTAGGAAAAGTGGGGAGTAAATTGTAAGGAATTTTCATGGAGAATATGTTGCTATGGGGGTGTGTTAGTAATGAATCAAAGGATATAAATAGAATTCCCAAAGAAGAGTAAGGGCAAAATGGGAATGCTTGTGTATAAATTTCATTAAAAGGAATTAAGTCATTGCAAACCCTTCATTCTTCTTCTCCATCGCCACTCTCCTCTCTTGATTCCTCCCAAATTCTCTTTCTTTTGATCAAGGAGTTTTTAAGGGCTTTTGGAGTGATTGGGGTAGAAAATCAACCTAAGGCATCCTAAGGTAAGGATTCTTGCTTTGGTTGTGAAGTCTTGTGAGTTTTTGAATATATTTGAGTTTGAGGGTTTTTGTTCATTTGTTGAAGAGTAGAGAGAAAGTCAAGCAAACCAAGTGAAAGGAAGAGTTAGTGAAATCTCTCCATAACAAGGTAAGTAAACCCCAACCCAAGTTGAGATTTGGGAATTTTCTTGATTAGGGTTTTGATAGCACTTATGTATGTATGTTATATACCTGTTATATGCCATGTTATTGAGGCTTAAATAGAGATTTCTAGTGCTTTGTGATTGTTTATACCTTTCAAATATAAGAAGTGAGATGTGGGTTGGAAAGGTAGTTTGAGATGGAATTGAAGGGGTATTGTGGAACCCTTTTGGAAGTGTCTTTCTTTGGCAGGTTTTGTGGCTATGTGAGGGGGTTTCTCCCCATTTTGGATGGTTAGAGAAAGATTTAGAATCATTGCTATAGTAGAGTTTTATGATGCACTTGAGTTGTTTGATGAAATGCCTAATAGAGGTTTGAGTATGAGTAGTGAACCTTAATTCTTGCAACATTGCATGTTGGCATTTCATAAGTGCATTAGTGGAGATGAACCATCCATAAGCACTAATTGTGCATTGAAAAGTGACCTAAGAAAGAGTAGGAAACTTTGTGTATGCAATTACTCTATGAGTAGAGAACTTGGTGGATGCAACTACTCTAAGGGTAGAGAGAATGAAAAATGCTAGAATAGAGTGAATGAGAAGAGTAGTAGAAATGGGTTGATGCTTTGTGATCATCACCCGACAGTTATGAGAATCGGGTTGATGCTTTGTGATCACCACCCGAATAGCCATTAGAAATGGGTTGATGCTTTGTGATCATCACCCGATAGGTATTAGAAACGGGTGGATGCTTTGTGACCATCACCCGGTTAGTTATTAGAAAAGGGGTTGATGCTTTGTGATCATCACCCGATATTTATTAGAGATGGGTTGATGCTTTGTGATCATCACCCGATATTTATTAGAGATGGGTTGATGCTTTGTGATCATCACCTGACAGTGATTAGGAATGGGTTAATGCTTGGTGATCGTTACCCGAAAGTCACGAGGAATGGGTAGGTGCTATGTGGTCTCCA